TTAATAATAATATAATTTGTTAATATAGGTATATAAAATACTTTAAAACTTCAATAGATGTGTGTGGAGAAGTAAATCAATTGTCTTTTGAATTGTTTTTATTTTAAATTTAAAATAAATTTTAAAAATAGTAATTTGAAATTAATGATTTTATAAATATTACAAAATTTATTATTATTTAATTAAGAGACACACATTTAGAAATTTTATTTATGTTACAATTTAAAATCATAAAGAGATTAAATCCGTAACAGAGATTCTTAACGATGAATCATACGGGCGTTTCGCCAGCTCATCGTTATCTTTTTTTGTACAATCGGAGAAAAGAAATGAGCTATACGGAAATAAGATACTCTCTTATGGAAGAATGAAGAAAGATAAGACTCATTTAGAACAAAAAATTATCTTCGCAATTTTTTGAAACTTTTTTCCCTCTCTTTTTTCGTTACCTTTCTCTTTCCGTTGAAACTTGATTTAAACTACAAGAAACTCGTACTAATATATTTTTTAATTATTTTACTTAAAGTCAGGACATTTTCGTATAAAGTACTACATTTTTCGTGTTTTTCAAGCTACGTGTGGTTATTAAAATAAGATGTTAAATATTTTTTCTAATATCAAATTTTTTTTTACATATAGAAGATATTTTATAACTTTACTTGACATTTTGATTATTTACTGCTATCCAATTTATTCTCTTTTCTTAGACAGAAATAATTAGCACGATCAAGTTACGTGAAGTGTTCTCGTAAGTTTCCAACGAGACACCCTATATACCGGGCAGCATTGTGCACGTATGTGTTAAATGTGTGCGGCGATGCTGTCGCGAGTGGCATGGCACGGTTCATCGACCAGCGACTGTTCGCCGAGTATGGGCGAGCGGTTGTAAGTCTCTCGGTCATCCTCTTTTGCCTCGTCCGCCTTTTTCCTTTGTTGCGCTACACCGTGTACCGTACACCAGTTCTGTGAGCACCAGCTGCGCGACCGCGCGCTGTGCGCGCGGCATGTCATGGCGACTTTTGTGAAGTCGCATGGCGATTTGGCGAACCGATGCGCGATGGGGATTTCTATTTAGCGACGCGATAAATTTCGCAGAAACCGATATTACGAATTGAGGGCTACCCCGATTATACATTCAATGACAATAGTGGTGAAAATTGAGTTGTTTTTAAAGTCGTAAGATAGTTTTAAAATTAAGTACAGACGTTATTCCGCGACTTAAGCTTAGACGTCTCTGTAACAACGCTGTACTTGATTTACCATCACTTTTTATCCTATAATAGTGAATTATTTTCTTTTAAACAATAATACGTCATATCACAAAAGTTATGCAACGTTATATAAAAACACAATATAAAATAAAAATGTTTTCTTTTTTTGAAGAATTTCTTCAGTATGGAATATTTTATAAGTAGTCATATATCGAGCATGCTTCTTTAAATTTGTAAATTTCTGAGTTTGCCGAGCTATTTGATTCGTATGAATATTGTTATAAAAAATTTTTATTTACAATTTTGAATCCAAGATTCGAAATCAAAATGGAGATCAA